TTTGAAAAAGCACTAGAATAATTACTATCAGTCTATATAAAGAACTCGTGGAACGTTGTTTCAAAAATGATCAAGTGGTTATCAACTCTTGTTTTCCCACATAAATTGTAGGAAATGATAGAAATTCAGATTGGTTATCCATATATTTAATATACGGTGTACTATCTTTCTCTGAAACATGATACTTTTCTTGCTGTTTATTTGCACTTTTATTAATAACACTTATTTAGCTATATATTTATAGAAACAAAAACACAAAAAGAAAAAAAAAAAAGAAGGAAAAAAAGAGTTCTGGTGGGACTCGAACCCGGCACCATCGGCTCGACGCGACTACACCTCACCACTACACCACAGAGACTGATGGCGTTACCTTGGGAAAGTCTTTAAGTTAATTCCTTTTCCAGAAACTTCCGCTGGCAAGATGATCGCCAGCCGCATTAATCGAGCTATTAACAGCAAAAAAACAATGTAAACGCATATTCCATGGCAATGAATGAATGAAAGAACATAATTATGCTTTTCAAAACGCCGGATACACGTCCTCAAACAACGTAGGGGACAAAACATATGTTTGTTATCTCGATTTCCGCTGTTATTTTGAAGCGAATGGTCAAAATCACATCCATTTTCGGCTCATACAGGTTCTTAAGAATAGCATGGCATGACATTTTCTCACTTTCACATCACCTTCTAGCAAGCTGAATTTGCATATCCTCCGTGTTGCGGGTCGAAGAGCAAATACTCATCTTCTCGTCAGGTTTAACACCTGGACGAGTCAAAAGGCTCTTAGTTGAAACCAATCCCCCTGCCAACCATCGTACTCATCTGAAAGACTTCTGCGTCTTTAAATTTGGTAAGACCTTCTAACCGTGCTGTAGAAAAAATTTTCTACAAAGAAAAACTCTGAGTCTGGGCAGCGAACGATGCGAACTTCCCGTGTTTTTATGACTTGTTCGTGGCGCAATGCACTTGGTTAAATGCAATGCATTGTGGTAAAAAAGTGTGATTAAATACAATGCATTGTGGTAAAAATGATGAATTTGAGAATTCGTCGCCCCTTATATATTTCCATAAACCTGATTATGTTGCTGCTCGCTCCCTCACGGTCGCTCCGCAGCAATAATATTGATTCAAACAATTTTAAGGCAATAATTTTTAATCCATTTTGATTGTCAATATAATGAGTATTACTGGCACTGATGCAACTGAAGTTCAGGTCGACGCAGGTTACCCTGGATCAAGATTTTAACTCAGACAGAGCGTTCATGGAGATGGCCACCATACTGTAAAACAGAAAAGTAAAAGCCACAAATACAATGTCTTTCTTTCATATAACACCATGTAGATCTTTGATCATAGTATGAATATTCACTGCTGTCTTTATTGACTTTTTTTTTCGTAATCGGACATCTCTCAAGTGAGACCATTTTTCGTCTCGGTCCCTATTGATTGAATACTCGTTTCCAATTAAAAACCTGATTGGGTTTTTTTTAATCCTGACTGGGTTTATAATCAATTGGTATTTAAGCTTTCTTGAGAATCGTCAACAGTGGATAATAAACAATAGTTTTCAAAGGACAATGGGAATGTGTGAACAGGGGCACTACACAAGGCAGTGTGAGTGGTCCGTACTTATTTAGCATTTTATTAATGATCTGGAAATCAGCATAGATAACCACCCAGCTCTGATTAAATATGCGGATGACTCTACTCTCATCAGTGTTCCCGTTTGGAGTAATGGGCACCGTCGTACGGATTTGGTGGATCAGTTTTTAACTTGGTCTAATGAAAACAGTATGATTTGTAATCCGTCGAAAGGTAAAAAATTATTTTTCGCAAGAAAGGATATATTAACAACATTCCGCAATGCACGGAGCTGCCCATTTTAGGCGTTATGTTTCAGGAGAATTGTAAATATAGCGAACACGTACGTGCTAAGTTGACTAAGGCAAATAAGTGTCTGTTTGTAAGGAAGGAAGGTTTCAGTCAAGGTGAAGTGGACCACCTATTTGGCACCTTAGTTTTAAAAATTTCACTTATAGTCTACCTGTTTATGGCGCTGTAAACTCAGATCTCACGGTCATACAAAACTTTCTGGATAGATGCTTTAAAAGAAAATACACATCTAAGAGAATGGACATTCGAGAACTTTTAGAAAAAGGCAGATAAGAAGCTTTTCAAGGTACGTTCAGTGGATCCCGATTGCACGCTCAGTAACGTCATTCCGAAGAAGCCGAAAGAAACAAAGTATCTACTCAGAAACAAAAGTGCTCATCGCCCGGATATAAAGACCGATAGATTTAAGAATGTTTTTGTAAATAGGATTATTTTTAGATATAATCTTGGATCTTTCTATTGTTTATATACAGTATGCCTTATGTATTTTAATCTTTTATTTGTATGCACTGTGTCTTATGTATGTTTAGATTCCCAACTGCTGATGTAACTTAAGATATGTCTTTTTATCTTAGGAGAATAAAGATTGATTGATTGATTGATTGAGAGGGGGGGGGGGCGGGGGAAGGGCTCCTGACAATAGATGGTACTTATTTCTCTCACCAGCTCGACCCAGACTCCCAACAGTTTTGCGCGCAGACTGAAACAAGAGAAAATACCTGCGTGTCAAGTTAAAATATTTCCAATCAAAATTGAAGTGACAATTTGTTTACCCATCTGAAGGCTTGGCTATCATTCACGATGCCCTCGTTCTCGACATGTCTGCAATGAATCACATCGACATTGATCCTCAGACAGCAACAGCCTGGGTCGAGGCAGGAGTGAACGTGAAGGATCTTGATGACGTCACATGCCCACAAGGCCTGGCTGCAGTGAATGGCTCCTGCACGACTGTCGGTGTAGTAGGTTTCACTTTAGGTGGAGGGTTTGGGTTTCTCAGCAGGACGAAGGGGCTGGCAGTCGACAACTGTCTTCAAATGGAAATTGTCACTGCTACTGGTCAGCGGATAGTTGCATCTTCGCAAGAGCACAGACATCTCTTCTGGGTATTGAGAGGAGCTGGGCAAGTGGGATATGGCGTGGTAACGAAGCTACAAGTCAAATTACATACCTTGCAAGAACAATACGTCGGAGGTAAGGGACCTCTTTACTTAGAAGCATTTTTGGGATCGATTAAAAAAATCATTTGAAACTTGTAACTTGACGTTGGACTCTTGCCTTATTGTTATGAATATTGAACTCTGTTGGACGATTCAAGCCTGATTTCTATTATGTTCGCTACAATCGGTTAGATCCCTGGATTATATAACCGAAATTTTAGGGGGAATCTGGAAAAGGCCAGGCTTTAAAAATACCTTTGAAAATAAAGCCCGTCTCCGGAACCGTATCGCTGTGATGGCTGAACCCATTTTCAGGCATCCTAGCGATCATATAAAACCAGGATTTATTGACATGTTTGGTGCGAAAGCTTCCGAACACAAGGTCGATCACGTTTACGCTCATACCGTAACAGTTTAATTCAATTGATTGCTATATGAAGGAAATGTGATATAGGTGCAATAGTTTATATGTTGACTGTTAAAGTGTTATTTAGGTAAAGTGCATACGAAGAGGAGGCCCACTCGGCGGTAGCTTAGTTCAGGTTCCTGTAACATAGCATCTAAGGGGTAATTACAAGAGACCGGGACGAACTCAGACCGGTATGAGTTCGTATCGGTCTCCATACATTTCTTTTCATGCGTTTACATGGGACCGGCCAGAAATGAACTCAGACCGGCCTGACTTCGTTTCGTCGCTGACCCGACTCGAGTTACTTTCGTACCTTTTTGAGACTGTACCGTTCTCATGTAAAACGGAAACGAATCTCAGGCCGGGTCCATAAATAGCATGTTTCTTCGTATGGCGCCATCATTTTTTGCTTTTTTTTCTCAGCAAAATAAGAACACTGCGATGAATAGCTGTAAACAAGACTTCAATTGAATATATGATTCGGTTAATGTGACGGATTGCATCGTTTTGAGATGCTGTGCATTTAACATGCCACCAAATGAGCGTTAGATTCAGTTTACAGTTTTCTGAGAGCAGTAAAATATGCGGTTCTCTATTGACTGTCTTAATTGGCGTAAATTGTGTACCAGTTAGGACAGTTGGCGAATAATATGTTAAATAACCGACTTAAGAAAGTTATATAGCTCAAGGGGGGGAGTTTGTACCGGTCTCATGTAATCAACGAAGTGTTTCATACCGGTCCCATGTAAAGATTATCCGTTGTTGTGCTTTCCTCTGAAAGTGAGAGATGCTGGCAGTATGTCTCCGGCATCCATTTAATGTACACATGTGTAAAAAGAGACAATTAGTGGAGCCATATATAATGGATGACATTTTTTTGTCCTGCGTTGTATTCTAACAGGTCGCTTTTGGTACGTTCCGATGAGCTCAACAAAGCTTAAGGAACTTCTGCACGTTATGAGCGAGTTTTGTAGATCAGCTGAAGATGAAATAACTTTCAACATTTACCTTATAACACAAGTCCCTGGGGTTGCAGTGGATTACTTCTATGACGGACATCCAAGTGAAGCCGAGGGAAAACTCCTTCCGTTCCTTCGTAGTATAACAGAGAGGTTTGGTCCCCCGGGAGAGAGTTCTACCGCTGTTAATGGTCCTTGGGAAGAACAGACCACCTCTTATGTCGAGTATCAGCAAAGATTTGGGGAGGAACCAGTGAAAACCTACAAGATGTGGAAATCTGCTTTTCTGGGAGAGTTGACTCCAGAGGTATGGATTGCGTCTATTTGGGCGGATTAAAGGACAACAACTGAGGTGTAAGGCTGGTTGTTCCGGTCACACAAATCACTTCAGGGTTTTTGGTTGAGAAAATCCTTGTTAGAAAATCTCTATCAGAAACCCAGAAATACCCCAAGTGCTGCAAAGATTTTGAGTTAAATTCCTGCAGCGACTTCTGCAGTAAAGCTTTTTAACTAAATAAGGGTCAATTCACGGACATGGGCTAAGGGGCTGACCCAAGGGGGGAAGGTAACTCTATTGTTTTCCACTTAAGTTTCTCGACCCACTCCGCCTGCCAGTATGACGTCACATAGTAACGGGTAAGAGCCTCGGGTCGCTTGTGCAAAATAGCAAGGGATACGACAGTTATTTGGACGAGAGAGGTCGAGGAAAAGCTAAGAAGCTAGCAAATATCGCTATATATCGCTAATTTGATCGAATGAGTGTGAGCTTTGGTGTTGCTGTAATCTGCTTGTGTAAACCGTTTTGATATTTTGTGTCCATGATTATACAATTTTGTTAATTTGTTTTGCGGGCCGTGTCGCGGGATCGCCATCTATTTCACGGGAACGGCACTTAGGTCATCAAAACTAAAATCTTTTTCTCCTCTTAAATAGGCAAGGTCTAGTCTCCAGAATAGGAGGTTCCATTCACAGATCACACATGTTTATATTTCATCTATTCTTTTGCTAAATAAATGGGCCTAACTTCATATCATTCCTTTCGAGTGAGGGCCTCTGTTGATCTCCTAATTCTCCACCGAATTCAGTAAAGCTAGTTCGATCGATTGTCTACATCTAGTCGGTCCGTTGAACCCGAAATAATGCGAAATAGCTTTGAAATACGCGCTTAAGCTAATTTTCCTCAAATGTATATTTGAATTCATGATAAATACAGCTCCACCAACTTCAAACAGCGTCTATGGCAGAGAAAAATTATTTTGATATGACAAAATTGATTTTTCAAATCATGAGTGTCACTGTGGTGCAGTGGTCAAGGAGTTTCAGGGGCACCCAACGAGAATATAGTTCAAAACCTCTTAAACATAGCATTGTTAAACGTATTTTTAGTATTTAAACGGTAGATATAGACATTATAGATATTTTTCCTTTATCTCTTGTACGTTGTTTTTATTTTTTCTCCATGTAAATGTAAGTATTGTCATTAGAAGTGTTTTAACCAAATAAATGTTATTATTAAAAAAAAAAAAAAAAAAGATATAGACATATTTTCATGCCCTAAAAATTTTTCATCTGTTCGGATTTCCTAGCTGAAAGTCTAGTGATCCGAAAATTATAGGGATCAAAACTTATTTTTTCGAAACTTTCAGCCAGAAAAAAGGCTCCCGAAAATTCTAGGTGACCTTTTAAGGGTAAAAATCGGTTAAAAATTGGCAATTATACCATTTTTAGATGTTCGAAAATCCTAGGAGAGGCAGGCAAGCAAAAAATTTTACAACAAATGTTCCGAAAATTCTAGATCTCAAATCGTCTTCCGAACAGATTTTTCCGAAAATTGTCGTTGAGTGCCCCTAAGTTTCTTGCACGTGCAGATAAACAGGGTTCGACTCCTGCGACGCTGTTTTCTGTTTATTTGTACCGGTTTTTTTTCCTGTTTGGTCTCTTTTTTTTTAAACACTATTTTTCATTTTGGCTTTTTTTTTCTTTATTCTCACTGCTGACCCTGCAGGTCATGCACTTGGATCAATATATATTTTAAGCTTAAGTCCGGAGTTTTATTTTGGCAAAGGGATTTCAAAAGCTCTTGATGTGCATACTGGCCAAGCTTACGACCAGATAAAAACCATAAGCTGTCAAGACATGTCCCTCCTCTGAAACAGCTCAATGTTAGTTGACTTCATGACAAATAACACACAGTACACCACAAACTGTACTAATTTACACACAACATCCACCAGTGACCCACTGGCGAAAGTTAAACTTGCCTTTTGTACATCGTCTTAATCATCAATATTATTACCTGTATTACTTAAAATCTCCACTGGGTTTGCCCCCAAAAATAATTGAACGAAACCTTTTATTGGCTTTCGGGATTTAATTACAGAATAACAGGTGTATGCCCAATACAGTATTAAAATGCGCCGGTAAAGCAACAAGATTCAATGCTCACAGTCTCTCACAAATACCTGTCATTTAGCTTCCCCCTTTCAACGCTACAGCTAAGCGAACTTTGAGAGGAACGATATGGGGTTCCACTAGCTCTGAAGAGCTGAAAATAAGCACAATGTAAAGTGTAATACATCCTTTTTATGAACCTCCTGTACGTCGTCTTAATCATCAATATCATTACCCTAAAATCGCCACTGGGTTTACCCAAAAACAATAATTAAACGAAACCTTTTAATTGGTTTACGGGATTAAGCAACAAGATTCAATGCTCCTATTTCAAGGCTACAGCTAAGCGACCTTTGAAAGGATTGATATGGGGTTCCACCAGCTCTGAAGAGCTCAAAATACGCCTGATATAAAGTATGATATATCCTTTGATGAAACTCCTATTGCTGTGTCTAAACTCCTGAATCTTGCTGTGCACTGGCCCTCAAAAGTGTGACCGGTGGGTATGATTGCCCTTAAAATTTGCTCGACTATAGAAAGGAATCTTTAAAATTCATTACACCACTGGACATTTCCTCCAAAAAAGTACTTAAGTCTAGTTTTCTATGACAATAGGAACCTTAAAATCTCCAAATCCAAGAAATCGGATCAGTATTTCCGTGATTAAATCGAAATTTTATCCGTATCTTCGATGAACAGTTTGCTCGCCATTTTGAAAGTCACTGACGCGAGACGTGACGTCATACTGGCGGGCGGACTACCACAGATTTCTTGAGACACCTTTCCCCCGCTGGGGCTGACCGTTTGACTTTTGAGGGGTATGGGTAATTTTAGAAACAAAAATATCCTGCAGACTCATTTTGAAAGAAACAAATTCTTGCCAGGAAATACCTGACGAAAAAAATTCTTACGCTGAAAAATACCTTTCATGGCCTATAATGCTGGGAAAAAAAGTCCAGAGGTTTTGGGGCAAAATTCTTTCCGGACCAAATCACCTATACCTCCCCCCAATCCATTGACGTAATTGTCAGTTTGACTTATCATTCCATTATATTGTGTGAAGCTTTTGAAATTTTATCTCTTTTATTATTTTACATTTGGGTGACTAAATGATGATACGTTGTCTTCTTTCTCTTACCATGCAGGTCATTCATATCATCATTAGCCAATTGGAAGAAGCTCAGTTTCTTCTAACCCCACACTATCGGCCTCGAGCTCTTGGGCGGAGAAATCAACCGTAAGTCACCTGATTCTTGCGCCTACGTGCACAGAGATGCACTATATTTGTTCAGTGCGCAGGCCGTGTGGACGCCTGAAGACGAGGCTAAAGGTAATGCGCATGCGTGCAGGCAGTGGGCAGAAGAGACGGCCCGGTCATTACTGCCTCACTCACTTGGATCATATCAGAATTATGCTGACTGTGGAGAAAACACTAGGGCGCAAACGCCTGGAAAATTATTTTGGCAAAGGCAAATATCCAGAGATTAAAGGAACTTAAAGAGGAGTATGATCCGCTTGGCATATTCACCAGAGAACATTTCAGACTTTGACTTTGAGTGAGTTTATTACCTTATTTTAAAAGCAGTAAAGAAACTTGAGGACTATCTATGACTGGAAGATGTCTAGTTGACCCCAATTCCCCAACTTCTTTCATACCGCCTATCGGAATTGTTTGTTTGTTTTCAGCACCGCCACTTATACTCCCCCAGTAATATCCTTATTTGAAGGTTTCATTCCTTTCAAGGATTTTTGTTGTTGTCAGGATTGAGTGTTTGGTCTTTCTTAAAAATAATAATGATAATTATAACCAAGAAAAGTCATAAATGTCTTCTTCGGCCACAGGGAGCAGAGGAGTTGATTCCTGTTTAATTAGCGTCGCGGCGGCGTTTACTCCAAGCCTTACAAGTCTGTACCACGCAAAGCTCCATTATGTACACATAAACGCAACGACAAGTGATTTAAGTTGTGTTTTTCTCGTTTATTTTTAAACGTCGGTTTTAACTGGACACGCATATAATGACACTGTCAAGCCCTGCTATACACTGTAGTTTGTAATTACTGAAAAACGTTTTCTCTCCAAAGGAAAATCAATGAACTATGACATAAAATACCGTAAACTTCTGTTAATAAGCCTCTCCCAGTTATAGGTCCATCTACCTGTAAACCAAAAAAATTACATCCGGGTAATGGGCCCCTACGGCTGATATAAGCCTCCTCTGGCTTGGATTGAAAATGAATTTAAAAAGCGAGTAAATTCAAAAAATATTTTGATTTGCACTGCCATGTAGCTTGTTTTTAAACACTCATTTTAGTCCGGTTATAAGCCTCTCCTCCCGTTTATAAGCCCTGTTAAAAACCCCTGACAAAGGGCTTGTAAGCAGAAGTCTACAGTACCTTAATTAGAAATAACCTTTCAGATATTCACACTTAAGTACTGATAAAACCGTATTTTTTTATGTTAGGGTAATGCTATATACAATAACCAAATATTCGTGAATAAAAAGTAATAATAAATAATAGAACAAAGAAAAAATTAAAATAAAATCTTTCAACAAAATTGCAAAACGGTAGCTCGCTTTGCTTTTTTGAATTGTTTTTAAAAAGTTAAGGCTAAAATCGCTATTAAGCGTAAACCCCAAATCTAATCTAATAATTCCTCAAAGCTATAACTTTGAGTCACAGAAACTCAGCACTTCTATTCCCAATCTGTGACTTCACTAAATTTCGATGAAGGAAAGAAACCACTTGCACTCTTCTTGAGAGTTGTGATTTACCAACCTCTTCTTTCTTACTAAAGCAATTGCTTCGACTTCCTTTGTTTACTAAAGTTTCACACCCAAACTCGAAGCAGTGTTTACTGGTCTCAACAACTTCCTTTTCCGCTTGTTATCCGGGTTGAACTTGGAAATTGTCTTTTACGAAAACCTTTTACCTGAGCCAAAGCTGAAGCCAGGTGTCCTGGGTACACTGTGTGCAGCCACAGATCGACCAGGAGTATTGCCGGGTCGCACGAAACCATGGTGCCTTGATTGAACCGCGTCCTCATCAGAAGACGATAACGAGCTGCTAGAATGCGGTTTGTGCAGGGTTTTGGAAGTTTACTCGGCACAGGTTGATTCTCTGTGCCATTTGGTTTGAGCTTCGATGACACTGTTTTCTTGATCTTGACTGGTTCATTTGATTCCTTGGAGGGTATATTTTTGACTTCGCTTAAAGCTTTGCGTTCCTCTGTCGGTTGCGAACTTTGATGCGGTAACGGTTCTAAAAGCAAGAATATCAGCGTAAAACTCTTTTAACTAAGCAAGAAGAAATCAAATTAAAGTAAACCTCCGGTTTGACATAATCAGTGCACGTCTCTTTGCTTAATTCCTCGCGTGGCGAGTTAATAATTTTGTCGAAATTCGCATTGCGCGAGGAACGTGCGTGGACCGCAAAGCGAGGCAGAACGAGCGAAAATCGAGATAAAGAGGAATTTTTCAGTGCGTCTATGAGGCGGTCCAAGTCTCAAGACTTTGTCGTGAGTCGCACAATTTCACAACCTATCTCTGTGGAAATGGTGTTTTCCCCGCCGAGTTTCAGCTCCGTACTACGGCCCGAAGTGGCAGAAGTATAAATACCTCTTATTAGCCGAGTTTCGCTCCGTACCTGTAAATTACGGACCGACTTTGTTCCATCGATTTGACCTGCGCGCTTCGCGCTTGGGCCATAAATCGATGGAAAAAAACGAGCATCCGTAATTTACAGTACGGACCGAAAAAACGAGGCTGATAAGATGTTTATTATATGGCTTCCTCCTGTTTGGGGGACCGGAAACAAGTGGAGGCCTAGGACGCACGATTTGACAGGTGTCAAAAAAGAAAGTTTTTATTTGCCCACGAAAACAATAGCACATAACAAAGGCTTTCCGAGAAAGAAAATACAAATTCGCCATGTTGAAAAAGTTTATTCCGTCAAAACTAAGAGCACTGTAAGTTTTAGCTCTTGAATGTAACGCTAGAGTATTTTGGAAACCGGACACTGTGTCTGTCTAAAAGTCCTTTCCATCTTTCCTCCGTTTGTCCTTCTAAAAAAAAAACACTGCAAAAGGCAAAGAAGCTTTTTAAGGTAAGACTTGTTGTCATTGTCGAAGGATTCGCTCGTTAATTGTTTTTGGGAAAACCTCTCTTTCTGCCAGTTCATTCTTGTCTTCAATTGTGATGTGCGTTAAAATTTTTAAACACTGACTAGCATTCTCTTCCTCGATCGGTAAGGTTACGATACTTCAGTTTAGTGAAAATCATCCTCGGAGACCCAGGGCAGTCAGTCGGGTCGGGAGAAAAGGCGCGACGAAAGTTTTCAAGCACAGGCGAAAAGCCCCTGGTACCAACTCTCACCGGACCATTTCCAAACGGTCAAGCGAATGCTGACCCTATTGGGCACAAAAAAAAGCTTTGTATTATTGCGCCCAATCGGCCAGTCCGGGCCACAACCAGATCTGGCGGATATATGATGACGTCACCCACATTTGCAAAATGGCGCCACGCCGAGAAACACGAGGGAAGGTCACTCCAGGCTCTTTGCTGTGCCTAGAATGTACTACTTTGAGAGCTGTGACTTTAGACAATAGAGAGTTTTAGATCGGGGTTTACCGCGAACCTCTAACCGCGGTTTGCGGTTACCCGTTTGCGGTTCGACGTTCAAATATAATTCGATTTAGATTGGCGGTGGATTAAAGAAGTGGATTCCGGTTTATTTTTCCATTTAGAAATAGAAGAAATATCAATCAGTGAAAATAAAAGAAATTTATGGTAACACTGGGTTTATCTAGCAGCAAAGAGCTGTAAATTCTTACATTAGTTCTTCTCGCAAATTTACGGCCGGATTTTGAATCAGCAGCCATGAATGGCCCTTGTTTTCAAGATCCAATAGGATTTATTAAATTTAGCATTTCGTCCGAATTTGTGCCTCTGTTAATGGATAAAGACTTGCTCCACAAGATTTTTGTATCGAGACACAAGAAGTCATGAAAGTCATAAACTTAGTTACAAATCTTAGTGCAATGAAAGAAGCTTTTTCGTACCTCTAGCCGGCTTAGAGGCGCTGGTCGAGCTGTAGAATCAGTATTTATTCAGTTAAGTTTGTTTAAAATTTAATTTGCACCTTTAAGCTTAGAATGAATCAACTTTTAAAGTTTAAAGCTGTTGAAGTTTTGAGAAACAATCACAAGTTGGCTCAGCTCTATGTGAGTTTTCGTATTAACTATAGGTTTTCCATTTATGACAGGATTGAATGAAGCAGAAGAATCAAGGAATGAAGATCTAGACTTTGAAGAGAAAAATATATGAAAGTTCTTCTCCCTGTAATGAAGCCTTTTAGAGAACTTCAAGTCATTAATACTTTTACCAGCAAGCATCGACTGTATTACTTACCCATTTACTCTTTTCAACATTAATTTTGCCTGTTGTCATATACAAAAATTTATAATAACTCTTTTGACCTGAGCTAACAATGAGTCATAAAGGGAAACAAGTTTGGAAGAAAGAACTTGATTGAATTCGAAACCTCAGTGATTGTTTTGTGTTCTTACAGTTCTTATAGTGAAACCAAGCGAGATATAACAAGAGAAATAACTAAAAGACCATCATTCAAGGAAAAACAAAGATAAATAAAATGTACCTTTAATACTGACACTGATATGATGTCCGGACGATTTCTAAGAACTGATAACATATTGATAGTCTGTACTTTCATGTGTTACGCTTGAAAATGTTCACATTCGAATGAAAGAACTGTTTTCGGCTTCGTCCGTGCATCTTCTTTTGTTCATAGCAAAAAACGGAAGAAAAATTGCGAAGGTGGAAACGAGAATTCAATAAAGTATGAAATAATCTACCTTTAGTTTAAATGGGAGCCTTGAATATTCGGAAACCACCTTAAAAATTGGGAAAATGCGAGGATGTTTTGAAAATCCTTTTGCAAACGATACTATTTATAGCGGGGACTCTTCGTTCGTGCGTCTTCTTTTGTTCATAGAAGAAAGTAGAAGAAAAATTACAAAGGTAGAAACGAGAATTAAATAAAGTATGAAATAATCTACCTTTAGTTTAAATGGGAGCCTTGAATATTCAGAAACCACCTTAAAAATCGGGAAAATGTGAGGATGTTTTGAAAATCCCTTTGCAAACGATACTATTTATAGCGGGGACTCTTCGTTCGTGCGTCTTCTTTTGTTCATAGAAAAAAGTAGAAGAAAAATTACAAG